TAACAATGTAATACATTATTTCAAATCTTCAAACTCCAAAGATATAAGGAGTTAATTCTTGGTAAACCCCATTGAGCCTAGAAGTTGGTGTTTCTTTCTGTACGAAAAAAAACCTTTTAATCTTAACCAAGGGTGGGATAGTCTTCAGTTAATTTGATTATTCATTTGAATTTCAAAAGGAAAACATCCCATCTGAAGATCAACCACATCTTCTTCCTCATACACATCATTCGATGTTGAAGAGATCGTGGAAACTCAAAAGTCCACAGTAGTTGTTCTTCACCAACCATTAACACAATAATCAGAACCTTTCAGCAAAATTAAAAAAAAGGTCAGCTAAGTCAAAACTTGAAAAAATGATTTAGGCAAAAATTAAGGATACAAAAAAAAAAAAAAGTCAAAATAGGTCACTAAAATCCTCAACAAAAGACAAGATTAGGTGACCACCATATCAAGAGTCAAAATGTAACACCCCGGACTGCCTTCAGAATTACCGACTGACCCCACAAACCAACACAGGTCTTTTCAGCATGCTTTGACCTCACTCACATGTTTTTCGAGAAACTTCCCAGAAGGTCACCCATCCCTAAATTTCTCCAAGTCAAGCATGCTTAACTATGGAGTTCTTATGAACGGGCTACCGAAAAGAAGACGCATCTTGTTTTCGGTAGTCTGTTCCATAAGAACTCCACAGTTAAGCGTGCTTGACTTAGAGCAATTTAGAGATGGGTGACCTTCTGGAAAGTTTCTCAGAAAGCATGTGAGTGAGGAAAAAGCATGTTGAAAAGACTTGTGTTAGTTTGTGGGGTTAGTTGGTAATCCTGAAGGCAGTCTGTGACGTTACAAATGCTATCAGAGCCAGACCTATCCCAATATGATGTGGTTCGAGGATGAACCAAACTGAAGTTAGTGGGCATGTAACACCCGAGGGTGAGGGAGTGGTTGTCGGTGCACGAGGCATGACAATGAGACACTCCTAGTAGCTTCTGGGGAAAACCCAAATTCACATCCGAATGAGAGTGATCCTGAGACTATGCAAGTATAGGACTGCATGGTTAAAGAAAGACTTATAAGAATTAATTGGTACTACCTATACCAAAAAGATGCATCTTCTTTTCGGTAGCTCGTTCCATAAGAACTCCATAGTTAAGCGTGCTTGAATTGGAGAAATTTAGGAATGAGTGACCTTCTGGGAAGTTTCTTATAAAGCATGTGAGTGAGGAAAAATCATGTTGAAAAGACCTGTGTTGGTTTGTGGAGTTAATTGGTAATCCTTAATAAAAGACAAGATTAGGTGACCACCATATCAAGAATCAAACAATCACCAAAATTCTTGACAAAAGAAAGTGAGTAACTACCACTTCAAGCAAACCTCATTTGTTTTAAAAACCATCACATTTCCTACTTCAAAACCCTCTTGGAACATTGGATGCACGTGTCGAGAGTTTAAGCAAGAAAGTTGATATTGCAATGCACATAAATATTATATGAATCAAATGGATTAGTTCAAGAGAAACATACTCATTGCATTAAGATCATCATTAAAAAACAAACAAGTTTTTATATGCAAACAGAGCATTAACAAACAATGAAAACTATAAATAAAATGTAGTAAAGAAAACTGATGATTGCCATGGCTGGGGAAGCCTGTCTCCGCCTGGACTAATTTCTTCTGATGATATCCTTGCAATTTTAAGTGCTCACTTGGAAGGCTTTAATTAATGTGCAGACCGTCTGTAGTGAAAGTAATAACCTCTTTGTTGTTTCTTCTGGGAGTCAGTCTGTTGTTGATATTGATTAGGGCATTCCTCAGTTCAGGCGCTTTCATCCTCAAACTTGGCCCAGGAACAGGCAATAGATGCGGATATGGATATTCTAAAACCAAAGACTGTAAGATACGCCCCTGACCCAATGAAGCTTCAGGGGAGAAAGCAGGAATATCCACTCCTTTTGCAGCAACTGAAATAAGACCACCTTTTACGCTCATACCGCCCGACGTGAACTCAAATGCCTTCGAATTGATTAAGTCCTGAACTTGGTGCTTAAAAGCCTTGCATTTCTCCACATTATACCCCGGTGCCCCATAATGGAAATCACAATGGGCACTTGCATCATAGCCTGGTGAAGGCTTACTAGTAAATGGAGCCAGAGTCCGAAGCTCAACCAATTAAAGTTGAAGCAAGTGTTGCAAACAGAGCATTAACAAACAATGGAAACTACAAATAAAATGTAGTAAAGGAAATTGATGATTGCCATGGCTGAGGAAGCTTGGCTCCGCCTGGACTAATTTCTTCTGATGATATCCTTGCAATTTTAAGTGCTCACTTGGAAGGCTTCAATTAATGCGTAGACCGTCTGCAGTGAAAGTAATGACCTCTTTGTTGTTTCTTCTGGGAGTCAGTCTGTTGCTGATACTGATTAGGGCATTCCTCATGTTCAGGCACTTTCATCCTCAGACTTAGCCCAGGAACATGAAATAGATGTGGACATGGAGATTCTGAAACCAAAGGCTGTAAGATAAGCCCCTGACCCGATGTAGCTTCAGGGGAGAAAACATGAATATCCACTTCTTTTGCAACAACTGAAATAAGACCACCTTGTACGCTCATACCGCCCCGCGTGAACTCAAATGCCTTCGAATTGATTAAGTCCTAAACTTGATGCTTAAAAGCCTTGCATTTCTCCATATTATGCCCCGGTGCCCCAGAATGGAAATCACAATGGGCACTTGCATCATAGCCTGGTGGAGGCTTACTAACAAATGGAGCTAGAGTCTAAAGCTCAACCAATTAAAGTTGAAGCAAGTGTTGCAACATCTGAGCATAAGTCATAGGGAGTTGGTCAAAGATTCTTTCGAGCTGCTTCAGCCTCTGTGCGTACCTTTTCATCTTAGGATTATCTTGGGAAATAAGAGGTAGTTGCTAACGGGGAAATTCTGGAACTTCAGGTCGTGCAAAAAATCTACAGGGCACATCACGCTCCGGGAGAGATCCCACAAGCAAGGGTAACATGACTATTTCAGTTGCAGCTTCAAGCATACGATTATCTTCCTTTCTTAGAACACTTCTCATGACTTCTATGATCAGGCCCATACGAGTCTTCAATTGATGGACTTCCTCTCTCAACATTTTCTGATCCCGAGACAAAGCTTGCATGTCCATCATGAATTGTCCCATCTGGCTTCGTACTTTCCTCAACTCAGCTTGAATCTACTCCATAGTCAACTTCTAGCTTCTTGGAAAAATTAAGTCTGAAATTCTGAAGAAAACTAAATCAGGATAACTAAAGACCAGCCTCGAACACCTGGAGTGCAAATGAACATATAAATGTAATGCAAACAAGTTTATACATCTCATTATCATTATCAATCGAAAACAAATAAGTTTTACAAATGAGTTTTCATTTTAACAGAACAGAAACCACAAATGCAAAGAAATATCATGATATAAAAATGCCATCTTCAGGGAACTGGGATTTCCAAACTTGATTCGCTACTGGGCTAGCCATCTTCAGAATTGCTCGTCGAAGTCAGTCTGATACTCATCTGAACATCTGTTCTTGGTGAATTCTTCCATAACGAGGACTGATGAACCTACGTGACTGGATGAAGGAGGATTGCTGATCTAAATACCATGAGGTGTGACTGAGAACATATTAGAGTCAAGAAGAGTTAGAATCTTGCTCTTAAGCACCTTACAGTCTTCAGTTGAATGCTCTTGTGCCCCAACATGGTAGTCACAACGGGCGTTGACATCAAAAGCTGTTGGGTATGGAGGAATCATTGGATTTATCTCCTTCGGCACTATCAACCCACCTTTGATCAATCTAGTAACATCTGATTGTACAACATTGGCAACTGAGTAAAATGTCTCTTTGGCTTCCTTGGTCTCTGTCGGGTGTGCTGACGCGGATGACGGTGATATGACTGTTGACTCTGGGAACTTGAAATATTTGAGTACTGAGGCTAAGGGTATCGGAGATTCCCAAATGGAATTATCTTCCTTCTCCCATTCTTCTTAAGAACTAATAACTGATTCACTCTCACCAGCTGATATGTATGGGAACGTCTTGAATCTTTCCACTCTTGAGTCTGCTCAATATGTTCCCCAACTACTGTCAAGTTAGAAAAATTTAATGCTCCATTGCCAATAATCTTGTCCAAGTATGGTCCTTGCTAAGTACCCGTGAACAGGTCAACCAATTCTCTGTCTAAAAGTGGTGGTTGAACGTGAGCGTCTAACTCTCTCTATCTTTGAGCATACCCTCTAAAGGATTCATTTTCCACTTGAGATAAGTCTTGCAACTGCATGCGGCTGAGAGTCATATCAAGATTATAATTGCATTACTTCACAAAGGCCTTGTCGTTATGGACATATGAGGTCATTCTTATGCAAAACATCACCAAATGTTGCTTTAGACAGCTATCCCCTTTGTACTTCTCAAACTTGAGTGTCTTAAACTTTGGAGGCATCACAAGGCCTGACACCAAACACACGTTTGAAGCATTCAGATTAAGAGCATCACGATCCTCTAGGACATCAAAATTCTCCACACACACATAAGATACCTTTTCATAAACTAAAAGAAAAAACATGTTTAACAACCCTACTATTATGAAGGAAAAAACGATTTGCCAAAAAAAAAAAAAAAAACTAAAACACGTCCTTATTAATCCAACATTTAATAATCATATATTAAACTATATATATAAAACCCCAATTAATCAAATAAGGTTTTATTTAATTTATGATTTATGATCATCGCCATCATCGTCATCGTCATTATCATAATCCTCTTCTTCATTCTTCCCTATTCATACGATAACACTAACAACAACAAAACCGAATCAATCTTCAAAATAAATAATCAAACCCGAAACTCTTCAAATCGTTCCCATCGTTTAAACTAAGATCCTCTATTTCCGAATTTCTCAATTTCCGAATTCCAGTGTTGTTTATTCGGAGCTGAATTTGTGTTTCTAGGGTTTCCGATTTCCGGCGATGGCGCAAGGGACGGGACGGAGCAGTAGAGTGATTGGAGACTACGTGGTTGGGAAGCAAATTGGAGCGGGTTCGTTTTCAGTTGTGTGGCATGCGAGGCATAAAGTTCATGGAACTGAAGTTGCTATAAAAGAGATCGCTACGCTTAGGCTTAACAAGAAGTTGCAGGAAAGTCTCATGTCGGAGATTTATATCCTGAAGCGGATTAATCATCCTAATATTATTTCCTTGCACGATATCATTCAGGTTTCATTCTACTTTTAAAAGGAAAAAAATTGTTTTTTTTTGGTGTAATCTAATGTTGATATTGATTAATTTTTATTTTATAATTTATAATATATAACTGGTGTGTTCATTACTAAAATTGTGGTATTTAAGGAAAAATTGGTAGTTAAGATGAGTTTTTTTTAAATATATACTAATTAGTTTATGCTTTGTTTTAATCTAACTGTTTTGAGTTTTAGGGTTTGTAAGTAGGGTTTGCCTGTAGTTAATGTTATTTTTTAGTGAATAGTGCTGTTTTAAGAGGTTTAAACTTTAAACTGTGTGATGAGTTTGGTAATTTTGAAAATTGTTGTATTGGCTTTTCTGTAGTTGGGAAACTAGGATCTTGAAATGAGGTTCTATAATGTAAAGCTCTGTAGCTCCGATACCTGAAAAAAAGGGCGTGTCCATGTCTGTGTTGGAACCTACACCGCATTTAATTTATTTATTTTTTCCAATTATTATCAGTATTACTGTGTCAGTGTCGGTGTCGTATGTCCGTGCTTCATTGAGGAAAAGTTTGATTTCTTGAATGGGGTATAATGTAATGTTTGATTTATGCTGTAGTGAAGGAGCGGTTTTGAGTATTTGACAGCGAACTCATGTTAGTTCTAGATATCGCACTTGGGCCGTGGTAGGTTAGGATGCTATACTTAAACTCTAGGTTGATTAGCCTGATATTGGCATTGGACTGGATTTGTTTTGCACTAATGATAAATTATATATGGCTCAATACTACTACAATTTATGATTTAAGTTTTTGGATTCGTTCTATTTTCTAAACCAAAATGGTAGGGGTTTTGACTCAGAATTTTAGCTCTTGTGAATAAATTGGTCTGTAAGAAATAGTTGTATGTGTGAAGTTAAATGTGAAGCCAAATGAATATTTCTTTGATTGGTGCATCAAACAAGTCTCTTCTTAGTAATGCCATTAATTTTATATAGGCTCCTGGCAAGATACATCTTGTGTTAGAGTATTGTAAAGGTGGAGATCTTTCTATGTATATTCAACGCCATGGAAAGGTACCGGAGGCAACTGCAAAGCATTTTATGCTTCAGCTGGGTATGTTTCATCTGTTTATAGCTGGTGTTTTCTTATTATGTTCTTCTGGTAATAAAGGAGAATTCTGTGTTACAGCTGCTGGTCTTCAAGTTCTTCGGGACAATAACCTTATTCACCGAGATCTGAAACCACAGGTATCCTAATACTTAAAAGCGTAGATGTAGATGTCTGTCGATTGTTTATCTTTTTTGAGGTCATAATCCTTCCAACCCAATTCCCCTTTATTTTAAAATATAATTTTTATATGAAAGTAGCGTCTTTGTTGTATCTAAATATTGGTAATATGCCTATCATCCTTGAAACAGAATCTTCTTCTCTCCAGAAATGATGAGAAGTCAGTTTTGAAGATCGCTGACTTTGGATTTGCAAGGTAGCCTAATTATTTCTATATAGTTCACATTTAAGACCCCAAAAATTATGAAAATCTCACAAATGGCCAATTGTTTCAAAACTACTTTATATTTTTGTGGCTCAGTATTTTATACAAGGTGTTTGTTTGTTTTTTACTTTAAAACCCATGGGAATTGTGTTTGGAAAAGGCTTTCTACTCCTTTCTATAATTTAGTTACTAAAGCATCAATTTCTTTTTGGGCAGGTCTCTGCAACCGAGAGGCCTTGCAGAAACATTATGTGGTTCACCACTTTACATGGCTCCCGAAATCATGCAACTGCAGAAGTATGATGCCAAGGTGATTCTTACTTTTGAATGTCACTCATCATATTAGAATTTCTAGAGATGTATATTGATGTAATTCGTGAATGCTATAAGATAGAAAACTATGAACTGAATACTGAATCTCAGTTTCTATTTTGATTGAATGATTTTAGTTAGTTATTACAATAGGTGTAGATCCTATTTATGGAATCTAGGGAATAGAAGGTTACTGACTGACACTGCCATTCAGTTAGTTACAACAGCAGATTCAGTTACAGCTTGTAACAGGATCTGTTTGGAGGAGTAATCCTTTGTGTGTGGGCGCAGTTCTATTGCAGTGAACCTTTCACTAATATTTTTAATACATCAAAACACTAAAAAGCATTCATTGTTGGTTTCCATCATATTAATCCTGAATTAAATACGCAGGCAGATCTCTGGAGTGTTGGAGCAATCTTATATCAGTTTGTTACAGGGAAAACACCTTTTACTGGAAACAATCAAATCCAGGTATTTGAAGCAATAGAGTTTTTTTCTTCTTTTTGTGTGAAAAAAATAAGTATTTACTGATTTAGATGCTGTTATCTGTACCGTAGTTTTCCCATTGGGCATGACTCTTTTGGCATTCCTAGATAGCTTACTGTTGTAAATCATGAACTCTGCAGTTACTACAGAACATCATGAAATCAACAGAATTGCAATTTCCATCTGATAGTCAAGGCTTGTGTTCTGAGTGCAGAGATTTGTGCCAGAAATTACTACGCCGTAATCCAGGTATATTTTGATTTTCTAGTACATTGATGTTTGGGACATAAATGAATTATAAAATCTGCAGACCTGTTAAAGATATTTAACAATAGCCACAGCAATTAGTTAATCACTGTCTACTATTGTATGTAATTTCTTGAGTTAGTTCTTGTTTTAGTAGAGGGGATGATCAGTACCTGATGTATTACCTGCGTGAACTTAGATTTACTCTGGTAGTAACCATAAGTTTAGTAATTTACAACAAAATTGGGCCACCTATTTTTCCTTGATATTAGGCTTTTAGATAACTTGAGTCATCCTTTTGCTAACCATGCTAACAAAAATAAATAGACATTTTGATGTTTTTTCATTTTGCTAATGAAAATTCAAAAGAGCACTTAAGACCGTAAAATGCTCATTTTGGCTTTTCGGGCATGACATAGATACGTAACTGTATAACTGTACTTGATATAAGGGTCTTGTTACAAAGGTAAGTTATTAACGATCATTAAGAGCACAAGACAACTGTTGAAGTCATGAGATTTAGATAAAAGGATGAGAGAAATAGTAAGAGCTTTAATATTATTGATAGTTGATAGATAGTACAGTGATACTAACTTGATACAAAAGACTAAACTTTAGTCTATATTTATTGGGATATATAGACTGAACCCTAAATAAATAGGGAAATCAGGAATAATCAGTAAGAAATAATATAAAAACTAAAGATAATTTAGGATACTCAAATGATGTGTTTTGGATGAGGTAATTAGAAATTTTTAAGGAATTTAGAATTCTAGGTAATTCAAATGTTTCAGTTGAAATCCCTTCATTTTTAATTCTTTACTTTGGATAGAGTATTAAAATTATTTTTTTGGGTAAGTTTTATAAATTTTAAAAGTTTAGGTAAAATTTAAAATCTAAAAAATAGAGATCAATTTGCAATTTTTGAAAATTTGAAGGGGTATTTGAAAATTTCAAAAACTCTGAGGACCAAATTGCAAAATTTGAAATATTAATAATAATCAATTTGACATTCAAATTAGATAGAGTAGGAGAGGAATTTCAAATTCATTAATTTATCTTAAACAAAATACTTTGGAGATTTCTATTATTTTAAAATTTCTCCATATTTTTATCTAAACAATGGATTTGGGTCAAATCATTTTAAATTTCCTAAAAAAAATTATCCAAACACTCTTTACTCTAAGATCATTTACCTGTTCCTATGAAGTATACAAAGATACTCAGTTATAGTTTCAAGTATGTTTTAAGATCTTTTATTATATTCTACCTGCAACTGTTAAGGAGAGTTTTATGATTTGAGGAAGGGTGATGAATTTGAGGCATAGACAACTAATTGGGGATTGTGGGATGTTGTTTATGAAATATTCTTGTAATAATTCTCTGTTTCTTGTATTAATTGAGGAAAGTTTTCACATCTGTGCTCCAATCTACTTTAAATAAAAACCTCATTCTAATACTTGATTTATTTTTTAATTTGTAGTGGAACGTCTAACTTTTGAAGAATTCTTTAACCATCCATTCCTTAATCCGAAGCAAAGAGAACAGGATGAATCATTAAGGTAAAAGGGAAGGCTTTTAGAATTTATGGTATCATGATTTTTTTAGTTTCAAGCCATTAATTTCTTTTGGTTTACAGGAATAAAAGCTCTTCAAGGTTGGTAAGTGGGTTCTCTTCAACAGTGACCGATCCTTCGAGAAGAACTGAGGAAAATTATCAAGAGGATTGCTTACCTTTTGTTCTAGATGATGAATCTAGTAGACCTGAAGGGAGTACGTTGCTTTCAAAGAAGAAGTCAATGAAGTCTACCTTTGGATTTGATCTAAATGCCAAACTAGAGTCAACTTCCATTTCTAATAATGTAACTTATGCTTCCAGATATAGTAGTATAACACAGAGACCTGAAATCACTTCTAAAAGATTGGACAACCATAAAATTTCAGGAAGAAATCTCACTAATCCTCTAGGATCACCAGAACGTATATTTGCAAACCCTTATCCAAAAGGTATCAATACCGAACTGAAGTTTATTTTTTCCGTTTCTGTTTTTCACGGTTAGATTTAAGACACATCTTTCAAATTATCCATAATAATGCTTCTATTTGTTCTATGAAATTGGCAGTTACAGACTCACTTGAGAATATTGATCAAGAATATGTTCTTGTGTCTGGGCCCCCTATGGATGTTTCATCTTCTTCAGTGAATGCTTCAAAGCCCAGCCCTTCCTTATTTAGAACAGGTAGTTTCCCCCAAGAGTCTTCTAATACAACCACCAGATTAAGTGGTCCAATGCCAATCACTGGTGCATCTACCAATAGCATGTGCCAAATTGGAAGTTCAGGTAGTCAGGACTCTGCTCCTGGGACATCACATGGATCAATGGATACAGGTGATGAACAACCATCAACTAACATTATGACTAGGGTGAAATCATTGCAAGATTATGCATCTGCCCTCAGAGAATTAGTTGATGAAAAGGTAAATGTTGCTTCAAAATTTATTGGTATATTTATCTTATACAATACAATGACCAATTTTATTTGTCAAAATTTCACTGAATCTCTGCAAGAGCATTTAGAAGCTCTCTGATCACATGATCTTTAAGCTAATTAAACTAATCAGAACATTTTTGTGGTCAAATATTGAGTGATACAGTATATTTCATATTATGGATGCAAGCATTCTAGATAATAACCAATACAATCGTTTGGTTCTTTCCCCCTTCCCATCTGCTCAAGAAACTTGTTATTGTTGCTATAAACCGTGTAGGTGTTGGATAGTTCCTTCAGTAATCAGTATGCATTATACACTGCCTACTTGCCTGTTTAGAACTTTTCCTTTTGGGGAATGATTCCACCCTATTTCCTATTTACATTTTTCTTTATGTCTCTCATACTGCTGTCTTTGGCATTGCATGAAGTAGTTTTGCTTGAATAAAATTGAATTTGTTATTTTTTTTCTTCCATAAAATTTATGATACTAATATTTCTTATTTCTCCACCTCCATCTTCCCCTCCAAAACAAACTTATAAGACTGTGGCAAGAAAGCAGTTAGAAGCATTTTCTATTGAGCTTGTGATTCTTGCCATTTGGAAGCAAGCACTGCACATGTGCCATACACAGGCTGCCTCAGCAATGGAAGGAAGTCCAAGTCAAGAAGCTTCAAGATATAAGAGGAGCACCAGCAAGAAGCTGGGTAGTCCCGATTCAGAAGAATGTTTTGATGAAAACACCCAAGGGCCGAAAGATTTATCATCTGAAATTGAAAGTGGATTTTTGAGGGAATTTGAGCATGCCCAAGAACTTGCCAAGGCCATTAAGCCTGGTATAGCTTTTATATTTTTCATGAGCGCAATGCCTAGTTGACTTGTCTTCCTTTTTTTAAAATTAGTTATCTTCCGTGAGATAACTATTTTGGTTCTCTAATAAAATATTTTCTTTTTCATGCTTGCGTTGTAATGAAGTGATTTTTATATTTCATTCTATATTTTATGAGATTTAAACAATTATATATATCTCCTGTTTGCAGGAAATACTGAGATGCCAGATGCAATGGAAACAATATTTCAAGCCGCCCTTGGTTTTGGGAAGCTTGGTGGTGTGAGTATTTCCTTCTGCTTCTCATTTCTTCCATTTTGGACCGGGGTTTAAAAATGCATCTTTGAAATGTAATTTTAGGTTCAGTAAAGTAATTGACAATGCTAGATAATAGATTTTCTTTAATATACTAAATTTATCTTGATCAACCACCAATAATCCTCACTCCCTTCTAAAGTTGGGGTCATCCTCAAAAGAACAAACCTCACAAGTCCCAAGGCTAGAGCTCTGACACTAGTTGATAGGAACCCATATGTTATTACCGAAAAATAAGGATAAACTTCAATTACAAGTAAAAAACTTTTAGGACTTAGAGTCTGAATCTCTCCCACAGCCTAAAGGCCGTAAAATAACAATACACACCCTCCTCTTCTACTATTTATATACAATACTGCACCCTTTCTACAAATTACCGACTAACTAGTTGGATATCAAACTTAACTATCCTCAACTAACATAAACATATCATACCTCTGTTTGTTACACAATGATTTGTTCTATAGTTTTCCTTAGTCTACCTTTACCCCCATTTAGCCTGCCTACAATCTTAAATATCTTGAACAGGGAGAGGTTCATTTGTCTACCCTTTGACTCTCTTTGGAATCCTCATGTTTATTGTTAACCCGTGGTTTCACATTATTGTTACCAACCATCCTGAGTCACGCACATTGGTATGTTGGTGACGTCAATAATGGGCGGCAGTTGTTTCTTTCAAGTTTAAAGGGGCTTGCCCATCATAGATGGTTTGATGCCTACACCCTACCAATATTAAGTTCCCCTTTCCCGGCAAGTCCATATTTGATACCCCTAATGACTTCAAGAAGTCAAAAGTGTCAGATTTGTGGGGTTTCACTCATGTTGAATCCCCTCACGAAGTCTGTCCATAAAAGTCCCCACTATAATGCTTCTAGAATACCTGAAACAAAATAGGTTGTTATGTTCATCCATAGTTCCGGCTGGCTTTGATGTGGCCAAATTCCGTCTAGTGTTATTTGATTCAAAGAGCAAATCCTGCCTAGTGTGAAAAGGTGTTGGTTGTTTATTTCATCATAAATACTTGAATTTTGTTGAAATCTTACATGGGTTTTGCCACATCACTTTTATACGTAATGTCGGATATCTTTAATATTTTGTGCATGAACAAACTCTGCAATGGTAAAACTGAGGATTTGTTAGTCATGTTGTTGGCAGGTAGATGAGCTCATGGGTAATACAGAAGGTGCATCCACATTGTATTCAAAAGCCGTTCGCCTATTGGTTTTCCTTCTAGTGGAAGGACCGTCCCTGATTCTCAACCCTCCATTTTCATTGACAAGATCAGACCGTTACAGGCTTCGGAATTACATTGATATGCTTAATATCAGACGAAGTTATACAGGCTCTCAGAGAACAACACTTCCTAAGGGTGATGATAGTCAGGGCGTCTTTAAGTAAAAGTGTTAGAGCTTTAGCAGTGGTTATTTGTCTCCTATTTTTACACGTTAAAATTATTTATTTGTACAGTTATTCTTTGGAGGGGAAATTGGAGATGCTGATAGAATTTAACCAGCGAAACACAGTTGTAAATTTCAACATTTCTGTGACTAGAATGATCAAATGTGCATTCCATTGTTTATGCTTTTTCATTTCGTCGCAATAAGTTGTTACGACGGGAAATGTATGGATGTTCGTAAAGCTAGAACTTAATATGAAATCTGTCATATGCGCAAGCATTAAAATGTCTGGTTTATTTGAATATCAGAACCAAATTATAGAATCATCAAGGTCTATCGTAAGTGGCTGTTGTCGAATTTTCGGATACCGAGTTCGACTTGAATTAATAAAAAAAACCAAAGTATAGAAACATGATAATGCAGCTGGCCACAGCTAGAGACCAAACTGTTGGCGTGTAGACAAGATATAGTTCAGAAGTTTAAACAATTGAAAATTGAATTTGGCTTGTGAACATTGGAAAAGTGTAGTGTTATATCTATGTCAGTTGGAATAACTTGGAGAGGAAGAGAATGGGAATGGAATACAGAGGTTCTTAGTACGTTCAAGGAAAGAAAAGGTATCATCAGAGTGATTCCTTTACACCCTTTTGTTTTGTTCATGTAAAAATATTGTGACTTGTCATACTTATTACATGACATGACGTGATATCAACCACTTGCTATATGGCTTTGGACCAACTCAATGCTTAATTACTTGCTCACTTCAAGCATCTTGAAAAATGTAGAATTTTGATAAGAGTATCACACATAAGAGACCAATTGATTTTTATTAATTGAAAAAAATCATAGTCTATCGCTGACAATGGAAACAAAAATCTTAAAATGAAGGGGAAAGTAATTAAGTTAACGAAATATATTAACTTGTTATGTTGCATGCTTTTTATAAGGAGTATATATAAAACATTGAAGTTTTTTAACAAACGGGGATGTAGCTCAAATGGTAGAGCGCTCGCTTTGCATGCGAGAGGTACAGGGTTCGATCCCCTGCATCTCCAATTTTTATGTTTTATACAATTTCTATGTTTTCATTATTCAATGCACACCGTGGTTTATTCAATTCACAAAATCATTATAATGGTTACTGTAAAAATTAAATTCCCATTGGCTATTCTTATTTCAATAAAGCTGAAATTATGTGATTTTTTTATTAATAAAAAATAATATTATTCATTCAAATTGGTGGATAGGCTGTTTAATTACATAAAAAAACAGATTCATAAAAAATAACAATAAATAACCCCAAATGCAAATGTGTAGATGCCAAACTAAAAACCGTAATAACTAATACTAGATCACGATATTTTTTATTTAATATTAAACAAAATAATATTATTCATTCAAATTGGTGGACAGGTTGTTTAATTACGTTACAAACAAAAAATCTATTCATAAAAAATGATGAATATGTATAGGAAAACGCCAATGTTACTCTTAGAATAATATTATAGAAACTACTGTGTGATATAAGATTTTCAAGTGGATGAATTTTAAGATGGTTATTTTTAGAAGTTTATGATTTATTTTGAGTTTGTTTGTATCTAGGTTCTAAGGTTAAGAGTATGAAATGTTTTGCAATGATATAGTTTGAACCATTTAGTCAACTTGTAATGATAAATTATTTTGTGGTTCGCCAAGAAATGTAAAGAGTTGAAAGAGATGAGTGTTTTTTTTTTTTTTTTTTGGCTTGGAAGTGGTTTCTAAGCATGTCTTCATTAAACTCAATCTCATTTTTTGATTTGTTTCAGAACCATATCATATGTTTGGATCCATAGCAGATCAAAAATTCAGACATGCTCCAAGAGGTGTTTATGGTTTTGGTTTTGCTAGAGGACTCCATGTTCTCTTGTTGGCGGGTCCGGTCGTCTGAGCTCTAGTCGGATTTCTTGCTGGATGGTGCTTCGGTGAGTGGGTGCTCTTTCTGGAGCATTCTCTTCTAGTGGTTGTTCCTTGACTATGCTTTTGTTGTTGTTCTTTTTTCTCTCTCCTTTTTCTTTTAATTGAATATATTCCATTATCTTGGAACATTTTCTAGATTGATTAATGCATTAAGACCACCTTTTAGTAGTTTTTTTTTTCCAAAACTAAGACTATGAATTTTTTTATGACAAGCTTCGGTTATGGAGAAGATGAGAAAGTATATCGAATTTGAGGGAAGAAAGGTTAGGACTAGGGATATTGAAAATTTTTGAAAACTTAGGTATTACCCGAACACCTTAGGTCCCCTAGAGTAAGGACGTGAGTCCAACGTGTAGATTTGTGTCATAGTATTATGCTCTGAGAAGTATTTCCCGATTAGTTTATATTCATGGTCAGACATAATATAATACTTGCATGTATGTATGATTGGTTGAGAAACAAATAATTTGGGCACCAAAATGATGAAAAAGCAATAAAGACAACTAGACCTTCTAAGTTGGGTAACACCCACCCGATTATTTAGCTTAACGGCGGTTGATCCTCAAATATCGTCCCAAAGTGGATCAATAAATGCCAAAGTGCGTAAATTCATCAAAAAAGAAAAAAAGGTGTTTAGACAAAAATTCTCGATTTATCTTGTGCATGTGACGATATCAATAATTCCAAATGCCTTAATATGATTGTTCAAATGAAAGTGGAAGAAAATCGAAAAAGTGACTTAAGCCCAAAGTATAGTTGGAAAGGTTTTTAAAAGGGAGACTTAGTTATGTGGCTATTCTTATTTCAATAAAGCTGAAATTATGTGATTTTTTTATTAATAAAAAATAATATTATTCATTCAAATTGGTGGATAGGCTGTTTAATTACATAAAAAAACAGATTCATAAAAAATAACAATAAATAACCCCAAATGCAAATGTGTAGATGCCAAACTAAAAACCGTAATAACTAATACTAGATCACGATATTTTTTATTTAATATTAAACAAAATAATATTATTCATTCAAATTGGTGGACAGGTTGTTTAATTACGTTACAAACAAAAAATCTATTCATAAAAAATGATGAATATGTATAGGAAAACGCCAATGTTACTCTTAGAATAATATTATAGAAACTACTGTGTGATATAAGATTTTCAAGTGGATGAATTTTAAGATGGTTATTTTTAGAAGTTTATGATTTATTTTGAGTTTGTTTGTATCTAGGTTCTAAGGTTAAGAGTATGAAATGTTTTGCAATGATATAGTTTGAACCATTTAGTCAACTTGTAATGATAAATTATTTTGTGGTTCGCCAAGAAATGTAAAGAGTTGAAAGAGATGAGTGTTTTTTTTTTTTTTTTTGGCTTGGAAGTGGTTTCTAAGCATGTCTTCATTAAACTCAATCTCATTTTTTGATTTGTTTCAGAACCATATCATATGTTTGGATCCATAGCAGATCAAAAATTCAGACATGCTCCAAGAGGTGTTTATGGTTTTGGTTTTGCTAAAGGACTCCATGTTCTCTTGTTGGCGGGTCCGGTCGTCTGAGCTCTAGTCGGATTTCTTGCTGGGTGGTGCTTCGGTGAGTGGGTGCTCTTTCTGGAGCATTCTCTTCTAGTGGTTGTTCCTTGACTATGCTTTTGTTGTTGTTCTTTTTTCTCTCTCCTTTTTCTTTTAATTGAATATATTCCATTATCTTGGAACATTTTCTAGATTGATTAATGCATTAAGACCACCTTTTAGTAGTTTTTTTTTCCAAAACTAAGACTATGAATTTTTTTATGACAAGCTTCGGTTATGGAGAAGATGAGAAAGTATATCGAATTTGAGGGAAGAAAGGTTAGGACTAGGGATATTGAAATTTTTTGAAAACTTAGGTATTACCCGAACACCTTAGGTCCCCTAGAGTAAGGACGTGAGTCCAACGTGTAGATTTGTGTCATAGTATTATGCTCTGAGAAGTATTTCCCGATTAGTTTATATTCATGGTCAGACATAATATAATACTTGCATGTATGTATGATTGGTTGAGAAACAAATAATTTGGGCACCAAAATGATGAAAAAGCAATAAAGACAACTAGACCTTCTAAGTTGGGTAACACCCACCCGATTATTTAGCTTAACGGCGGTTGATCCTCAAATATCGTCCCAAAGTGGATCAATAAATGCCAAAGTGCGTAAATTCATCAAAAAAGAAAAAAAGGTGTTTAGACAAAAATTCTCGATTTATCTTGTGCATGTGACGATATCAATAATTCCAAATGCCTTAATATGATTGTTCAAATGAAAGTGGAAGAAAATCGAAAAAGTGACTTAAGCCCAAAGTATAGTTGGAAAGGTTTTTAAAAGGGAGACTTAGTTATGTGGCTTCACCGCGGTTAGTTTTCTTGTGAATACCTTCGTTGACAGATGATTACCAAGAGAATTAGGCCTAGCCGATTGGAACAAAGACTTACGTATGAGTACCATTAACCCCGTTTTTGTATGCTTTATCATGATGTGACCACTTAATCCGAAAACTCATGAACGCAAGCTTTGTTTCTTGAGGATAGGCAATAATCTAAATTTGGGGTAGTTTGATAAGTGGTCTTTGCTCTTTCTAGTCGTTTTCCTTTAGTATCTTACCGAGTTTTGTTTGATTTCCTTTCATTTGTCATGCTTTATGCTTTGGTTTGTGTTTTCTTGTGAATTCTAGGGTCTAATGAGCATCCAAGATAAAAAGGATCAAAGGCAAGTAAAATGGAGCAAAACGACAATTTGGCAATTTCTCCCATACAAAAACAAGGGGGATATTGTGGCCACCCGTAGTAGCTGCTACGGGTCGTAGCACCATGGTGCCCTAGCCCCCTTTTTGAGCCTTGCTAGTAGAAGAGATAGAGCCCTGCTACAGCCACCCGTAGAAGCTGTTACGAGTCGTAGCAAGGAGGCGAGAGAAAAGTCCAGATTTATTTTTTACTTCCTTAATTAGAATGATTCACTCTTAATTGTGGCTCTTAGGCATGATTGGATCCATATCAAATCTTAATATTTCACATTG